CTGTTTAACAGTGTTTGATACGGTTTGATTTCTAACTTATAATTAGTGAATTGTCTGTATGTACAGAAATCAGAGTGCTGTTTAACATTGTTTGACACTGTCTCGTTTCTAACTAATAATTAGTGAATTGTCTGTATTGACAGAAATCAGAGTGCTGTTTAACAGTGTTGATACTGTTTGATTTCTAACTTATAATTAGTGAATTGCCTGTATTGAAAGAAATCCGAGCGCTCTTTAACATTGTTTGACACTGTCTCATTTCTAACTTATAATTATTGAATTGTCTGTATTGACAGAAATCAGAGTGCTGTTTAACAGTGTTTGATACTGTTTGATTTCTAACTTATAATTAGTGAATTGCCTGTATTGAAAGAAATCCGAGTGCTCTTTAACATTGTTTGACACTGTCTCATTTCTAACTTATAATTAATGAATGGTCTGTATTGATAGAAATCTGATTGCTGTTTAACAGTGTTTGGCACTGTCTCATTTCTAACTTATAATTAATGAATTGTCTGTATTGATAGAAATCTGATTGCTGTTTATCATTGTTTGACACTGTTTCATTTCTAACTTGTAATTAGTGAATTGTCTGTATTGAAAGAAATCCGAGTGCTGTTTAACAGTGTTTGACACTGTTTGATTTCTAACTTATAATTAGTGAATTGTCTGTATGGAAAGAAATCCGAGTGCTGTTTAACCTTGTTTGACACTGTCTCATTTGTAACTTATAATTAGTGAATTGTCTGTATGTACAGAAATCAGAGTGCTGTTTAACATTGCTTGACACTGTCTCATTTCTAACCTATAATTAGTGAATTGTCTGTATTGATAGAAATCTGATTGCTGCTTAACATTGTTTGACACTGTCTCATTGCTAACTAATAATTAGTGAATTGTCTGTATTGATAGAAATCTGATTGCTGTTTAACATTGTTTGACACATTCTCATTTCTAACTTATAATTAGTGAATTGTCTGTATGTACAGAAATCAGAGTGCTGTTTAACATTGTTTGACACTGTCTCATTGCTAACTAATAATTAGTGAATAGTCTGTATTGATAGAAATCTGAGTGCTGTTTAACATTGTTTGACAATGTTTAATTTATAACTTATAATTATTGAATTGTCTGTATTGACAGAAATCAGATTGCTGTTTAACATTGTCTGACACTGTCCCATTTCTAACTTATAATTAGTGAATTGTCTGTTTTGATAGAAATCTGATTGCTGTTTGACATTGTTTGACACTGTCTCAATTCTAACTTATAATTAGTGAATTGTCTGTTTTGATAGAAATCTGATTGCTGTTTGACATTGTTTGACACTGTCTCATTGCTAACTAATAATTAGTGAAAATCTGATTGCTGTTTAACATTGTTTGACACTGTCTCATTTCTAACTTATAATTAGTGAATTTTCTTTATTGATAGAAATCTGATTGCTGTTTAACATTGTTTGACACTGTCTCATTTCTAACTTATAATTATTGAATTGTCTGTATTGACAGAAATCAGAGAGCTGTTTAACATTGTTTGACACTGTCTCATTTCTATCTTATAATTAGTGAATTGTCTGTATTGATAGAAATCAGAGTGCTGTTTAACATTGTTTGACACTGTTTCATTTCTAACTAATAATTAGTGAATTGTCTGTATTGAAAGAAATCCGAGTGCTGTTTAACATTGTTTGACACTGTCTCATTTCTAACTAATAATTAGTTAATTGTCGGTATTGAAAGAAATCCGAGTGCTGTTTAACATTGTTTGACACTGTCTCATTTCTAACTTATAATTAGTGAATTGTCTGTATTGATAGAAATCAGAGTGCTGTTTAACAGTGTTTGATACTGTTTGGTTTCTAACTTATAATTAGTGAATTGTCTGTATTGAAAGAAATCCGAGTGCTGTTTAACATTGTTTGACACTGTTTGATTTCTAACTTATAATTATTGAATTGTCTGTATTGACAGAAATCAGAGTGCTGTTTAACAGTGTTTGACACTGTTTGATTTCTAACTTATAATTATTGAATTGTCTGTATTGACAAAAATCAGAGTGCTGTTTAACATTGTTTGACACTGTCTCACTTCTAACTTATAATTAGTGAATTGTCTGTATTGATAGAAATCAGAGTGCTGTTTAACATTGTTTGACACTGTTTCATTTCTAACTAATAATTAGTAAATTGACGGTATTGACAGAAATCTGAGTGCTGTTTAACATTGTTTGACACTGTCTCATTTCTAACTAATAATTAGTGAATTGTGTGTATTGATAGAAATCAGAGTGCTGTTTAACATTGTTGGCACTGTTTGATTTCTAACTAATAATTAGTGAATTGTCTGTATTGATAGAAATCCGAGTGCTGTTTAACAGTGTTTGACACTCTTTGATTTCTAACTTATAATTAGTGAATTGTCTGTATTGACAGAAAACAGAGTGCTGTTAAACAGTGTTTGACACTGTCTCATTTCTAACTTATAATTAATGAATTGTCTGTATTGACAGAAATCAGAGTGATGTTTAACATTGTTTGACACTGTCTCATTTCTAACTAATAATTAGTTAATTGTCGGTATTGAAAGAAATCCGAGTGCTGTTTAACATTGTTTGTCAGTGTCTCATTTCTAACTTATAATTAGTGAATTGTCTGTATTGATAGAAATCTGATTGCTGTTTAACAGTGCTTGACACTGTTTGATTTCTAACTGATAATTATTGAATTGTCTGTATTGGCAGAAATCAGAGTGCTGTTTGACATTGTTTGACACTGTTTCAGTTCTAACTAATAATTGGTGAATTGTGTGTATTGATAGAAATCAGAGTGCTGTTTAACATTGTTTGACACTGTTTCAGTTCTAACTAATAATTAGTGAATTGTGTGTATTGATAGAAATCTGATTGCTGTTTAACAGTGTTTGACACTGTTTGATTTCTAACTTATAATTATTGAATTGTCTGTATTGACAGAAATCAGAGTGCTGTTTAACATTGTTTGACACTGTTTCAGGTCTAACTAATAATTATTGAATTGTCTGTATTGACAGAAATCCGAGTGCTGTTTAACATTGTTTGACACTGTTTGATTTCTAACTTGTAATTAGTGAATTGTGTGTATTGATAGAAATCAGAGTGTTGTTTAACATTGTTTGACACTGTCTGAATTCTAACTTATAATTAGTGAATTGTCTGCATTGACAGAAATCTGAGTGCTGTTTAACATTGGTTGACACTGTCTCAATTCTAACTTATAATTAGTGAATTGTCTGTATTGACAGAAATCATAGTGCTGTTTAACATTGTTTGACACTGTTTCAGGTCTAACTAATAATTATTGAATTGTCTGTATTGACAGAAATCTGAGTGCTGTTTAACATTGTTTGACACTGTTTGATTTCTAACTTATAATTAGTGAATTGTGTGTATTGACAGAAATCAGAGTGGTGTTTAACAGTGTTTGACACTGTTTGATTTCTAACTTATAATTAGTGAATTGTGTGTATTGACAGAAAATCCGAGTGCTGTTTAACATTGTTTGACACTGTCTCAATTCTAACTTATAATTAGTGAATTGTCTGTATTGACAGAAATCTGAGTGCTGTTTAACATTGTTTGACACTGTTTTGTTTGTAACTAATAATTAGTGAATTGTCTGTATTGATAGAAATCTGAGTGCTGTTTAACATTGTTTGACCCCGTTTCATTTCTAACTAATAATTAGTAAATTGTCTGTATTGACAGAAATCAGAGTGCTGTTTAACATTGTGTGACACTGTCTCATTTCTAACTAATAATTAGTGAATTGTCTGTAGTGATAGAAATCAGAGTGCTGTTTAACATTGTTTGACACTGTCTCATTTCTAACTAATAATTAGTGAATTGTCTGTATTGATAGAAATCCGAGTGCTGTTTAACATTGTTTGACACTGTTTAATTTTTAACTAAAAATTAGCGAATTGTCTGTATTGACATAAATCAGAGTGCTGTTTAACATTGTTTGACACTGTCTCGTTTCTAACTAATAATTAGTGAATTGTCTGTATTGACAGAAATCAGAGTGCTGTTTAACATTGTTTGACACTGTTTTGTTTGTAACTAATAATTAGTGAATTGTCTGAATGTAAACTCAAAGGGGATAATTGTGGCTATTACGATTTTTGAAAATCTTGGGAATAGAAAAATACACCAACGGTCTTTACTACTTCGTATCTTGAAAGATAAACGTAACGCACATACGTACATGTGTATACACGTACTTTCTATATTAGAGGAACGTGCATCTTCTTTAGAAATGTTTAATTATTATTTATTAAGTTGATGGGTTAAATAATAAATATATATGTTAATTATTTTAACACACCCCGACAAATATAACAATTCGCCCATGGGCCTTAATAGTCACCTGAATCCTACAGTATTTATTTTTGTTATTGAAATATGAATTGGAGATAATGTCAATCATCTCTACCAGTTTGAGCAAAAATATAGTTAAGTATACCATTAGGTTAAATTTGTCAAGACCATGAGTTGATTATTCCTAAACCGCGTTTCAGTCAAATAGGCCTATTGGAACTTGATTTTAAGTTTGAAATAGTATGCTTTTCAAAATGGCGGCCGTTGTGGCCTTATTGAATTTTTGATTGACCCCAAAAAAAGAGCACTTTGCCAGGACCATGAGTTGATAATTCCTACCAAGTTTCATTTAAATCGGCATAGTAGAACTTCACTTTAAGTTTTTCAAGATGGCGGCTGTTGCGGCCATATTGAATTTCTGATCGACTCGAAAAATAACAACACTTGGTGCATGGAAAAGAGAACGACCACAACATTTACATGATACGGAATTCTTTTGGGCTTCCATGAGATGCTTAACACCAAATAAGAGTCCCAAATATGTTCACCATACCTCAGGGGTAGTCTTTGATCCGTTTATTAACTAAAAGACCCAGGTCGATCATCAATGATCATGGCAAATGTTGTCCTCAGTTTTTACTTACCTTTTGCGCTTTGCGTTTGTCGGCTCTCTGGTTTTGATGGTAGATTCTGCTAAAGTTTGACACAATAACGGGAACAGGTAAGGCGATGACGAGGACTCCACTAAGCGAGCACACACCTCCTACCACCTTGCCGGGTATTGTCCTGGGCACCATATCACCATAACTACAATGGCAAAAGAACAAATGTCACTCATGACGTAACTAGTAACAAGCATCACGCGTGTCAGCATTTGCCTGTCATTGAGATTGTTCGATGCTAAATGGGAAGATTTGTATACAAATGTCTCAGGAATGGACTTTACACAATATAACAATGGGAAACTGAAAGTTTCGAAACATGGATGCAATAAATTGTGGTTCAATGACTACAGAGGATGTATCTCTGAGTGACTGTAAATTCTATTTACATATTATTGCGAATGATTACACGCCAACAGCGGATATCCTCTTCTGGGAAACCTAAGCACATACTGTTTCGTCGTGCTTCAGGAGTTTAAATATGACGTATGCGATATTGTATTAAAATTTTACTGTTCTTATGAATAAGAAATGGAGTTGTTTGTAAGCATGGACGTACATGTAGAGTAATGGAGGCGGTGCGCGAATGGTCGTGTGTAGCACAGTGTGTGTATTGCGACCGGTAAGCACGGCATATGTAGAATAAACAATGTTGGATGGTATTTCTGAACTGGTAGCATAAAAGCAACAGAGGTGGTCCTTTGTTATGTTATTATTTAGGCGTCTAGGGATGACAATATGTTTTATGGAATAGTCCAATAAAACACAGCTAAGAAGAGTCACTCCCTTTTCCTTAATATGTCCTAAAATACAATTATGTCTTTCTTATAGAATGTAAATCATGAATAAATAACATTGAGACAAAAAATAAACTATATCAGCGCGTCAACACAGAAGGACAAAGTCAGACATCAAGGTCGATATGGGAATACAAAACCAGAAACCGAGAAGACACCAAAAACAGAACTGAATACCCCAGACACAGAGGCGACATGATGTGCTCCAGACGGATGTTTCCCAAATCACACATGACGCATTCACATGTGCCTACTATTATCGAGGAGAGTATGTCAACAAATATCTTAAATGTGTTCATCGAAATATCTAAAACAAACCCGTTACATGATACATTCGCGATACTGTTGATATGCTTGGTTACGTTTGGAACATTATTACGTAACAGGTCATTGTACCAATATGTCCACAAACTAGTGGGAAATGCATAACCAGGATACAACCAATTCATTCGCAAAATACATAACAACAACAAATCAAACAAACGCATCGTAAACATGGCTGTGACGAATGGAAGGTAAATTTCTCCAAGATAATATCAGCCCATTTAAACGTATTATCTACCGAATGGTGAAGTGTTATAATTAAACCCTCAATCACTACTATGTTATATTATCGTGCATGGCATTATTTTTTATGTTACAGTGGATATACATGTTTTACATGAAAATCTCACATAAGCATGTCACCCTTTACTAGGTCTAAAACAATAGTCACAAACTACCGACGGCGTAGTAAGGACCTCACTCTCACCATCGTAGAGGATAGGAACGGAGGATCGCTTACTTTCATCGTTTCAAAGGATTTAGATGATTTAAAGAGGGGACTGTTAACTGTCACCATCCTATACTCGATCTAAAGAGTGGATTGCTCAATGTTAACAGAAACGAGGATAAACAGATAGGATGGATCACTACCATCATCTGAGAGCATTGCAGCGGATCTATAGATAGGTTTGTATACTGTCAACATTGCAGAAGTGCACTTACTATTTACATTGTATCTTATCTAAAGGAGACTCCCTTTCTGTTACTACTAAAGAGGATCTAAATAAAGCCTTGCTCATTGTCACCGATTTGCTTACCGACACCATTGCATAGGATGTATATGGAGAATATATCTCTACAACGATCAAGCATATTCAAGAGATCAGACTTTTCTAAGCGAAAAAGTACGAATCTGCCCTACATCAGCTATCTTACACCAAAGAACCCCAAAGAGGTTTGTACTTGTCGTATAATGAATGGAACGTGTAGCAATGTAATGTTGTGATGTATCGTATGCACATATCAAATAATGACAGATATTCCCCTTAGCTTGTATGTTAATTTCACGATAGCGGTCGTGATCTATATGGGTTAAACGAGAGACAAACCATTTGTATCCGTTACAATGCAACGTCCGACATCAATGAACTTGAGGTATCACAATAGCAAACTTTCCACTGCATAATGGAGACTCTGCATTCAATAAAAATTGACATGTAGTATCGATTCTTCAAATCAACCATTAGACATATGGACGGCTAAAGACGAAGTGCCTTCTTGTTTACATGTAAACACTTTTGGCGACGTTTTGCTGAAACCAGTCAAACGAGGAATGTATTATTTTTATTTTTTTTGAAAAAAATGGGAATAATTCGGAAATTCGTACAGTACCAACAAAGACATTTATTGATTAGAAAGACGTACCGATAGAAAATAATCCTGGTTTATACTAAAAATAATGTTTAAGCAGTACAACCTGAGAAAAAAAACTAATTATCGACTTGAAATTTAAATCGTCACCTTTTAAGTGAGTTGAATACTATTGTGATGCAGTATAAAACTGTTCAGATCTACGGAAAACATCATTAATATATCGAAATGAAGTATACATTAATAGGGCAAGTGTCTTGCATCCCGTGTTCGTCTCTTGCCCTTGCATACAATTCAGTTTCATGAAATATTCAGACCCGATATAGAAAAAGCCTCCGTTGCAATACTGATAATCTTCTCCATTAGAATTTGATAAAATAAATCATATCGTGCGGAAAATGTCACACGTGATGTACTTTTTTCTTTATAGTGGTGCAATATTTTGCAGTACACTTTTTGCAGCAATGACAAAAAATGTGTAGATGCATTTGAAAAAGCATCCTGTATTTAGATTTACTCTCCCTCGTATTACCGTATAGCTCATAGTAGAAAAGGTATGTATCACAATCTATAGGTGTGTATATGTGACGTGTCGCTGACTAGTACGATACGTACCCTGTCACCTCATCAAACAAATAACGACTGAAGCGTATGTGCAACAAAGAGTGAAACATGTACGAGTTGGCAATATATAATCGAAGTCGATTTGGATACTCTATAAGCGTATTACACTTAGTTATTATACACGTTCGAAATGACGAATCATACCGATAATTCGATTCGGCTACGCTTTGTTTAATACCATGTCATTGATGCAAGACATTTTCTGTAATTGCCTATTTATTGATCTGGGACTCTGAATGCTTCCTTTACAATCGGATGAACTTCTTCCCTTCTTCGGTTATAGTATATTCCCGGTGTTGAATAAGTCGGATTCCGGATCGCTGACCAGTTTCTGCGATGGGGAAAAGGCACAGTTCTTGCATCCGATTATGTACACACATTCTGCGACGTTTTCTTTAGTTGTTCTAAGGTTAGGGTGAACAAGGATATTGTAAGCGTCTTAACGGGCTTCATGGCTGGACTTTACAATGGCTGCGATATATCCTCTGGGTGGTTTTATATACAGGATGACGTCCTGACCTTTCGTTTTGTGTTTATCCTTATTTGTTGGTTTTTCTTGTTATTTCCTTTGCTTTGACACTCTCTTTGTACCCTTTTAAGAGCCCATTCCAGATCTCGACATATTTTCATTGCATCCGTGATGTGATTATGATCTTGAGTTTTACCCTGTTGTTCTGTTTAAAGTGCATCCCATCAGTTAAGCAACGTGCATACTACTCCCAATTTCTGATGCAAATGATGGTTGTCTGATGAAGGTGGCAGGGTATGTATAGTACTAGTCACCGGAATTTCACATACAAAAACTTACTGATTGTGATACATAACCTTTCTACTATTCATATTTACCAACCTGAAGATAGTGATTGGAAATATCTGCTTCTGGTCGTGAAAACAACATTTTATCACCGAAAAAACCCTTACAAATGGTACATGAAGGTAAACATAACAGGCATATTGATATAAATAATATATTAAATTAGTATACTTTTTGAAATGACTCCTTCTGCCATGCATAATCTGAGAGCATCGATATATTAAGGTGAACGCATCGGATATATCTTAAAGTCAAGAGAAAAATGATTCAGATATTGCATAAGAATTGGTATAATTATATATTCATTTAAATATTAAAAGTAGTATTTCATTGCATAAAAAATAATCAAAACATAATATTTTAATCTTTGTTACATATTCAACCAATCCACACCTAGTTCACATTAAAAAAAAAAATATTTCAAAGGAAGTCAACTTCCAACTAAAAGCTCGTGAGATAGCTTCGATCGCATTCCTTTTTTTAAATCTCTCGAATATTAATTAAATGTTAAATACACAAGCTGTGTACACTTAAAACTCAAACACATAAGTCTTGTTTGGCCCCTTTTCCCTTGGTATCAACATAATCCATTGGTCTTTCCTAGGCCAGTGTAACGTCATACCAAATTTTGTGAAAATCTGTCATATTAAATTTATTGAAATATGTCTAATTGTATTTATGAAGTAGTCCTTCAAATATTTTCTATGACTTCCTCTACTGTTATCTGCCCCAAGGGAACAAGTCACCACCCATTTATATGAAAATGAATTATCGTAGCTCTGGGCTTCTTATCAAATTTGTCAACAGCCCTACAGCCTTTTTTGAAAAATCGTCTTTTAAATGAAAAATGGAAGCAAAATGCGTCATGAGATAAACTCGTGGTGGTCTAAATATACCACAGCATGGTAAATACTACAAAAACTATGTAGCTGAGAATCAATAAGGTAAGACAACAACAGCCACTGTAGAGACACTATTACAAAGGGAGACTCTGTTTCAATAAATACGGCATGAACTCGTTAAGATGATTTATAAATTAAGTCAAGAATATCGAACATCAATGTAAATGTATACATTTTTTGTCAACACATGTTACATAAAATAGCCAAGAAAGTTGTCAGAAATTGTGCTTTATCAATCGGATTGTCATTTATCAATAAAATATGTTGATATGAATTAAGGAAAAGTTATTATTAAGGACACAACGGGGTCTGAATATTAATACATGATTAAAATCTGTATACAAATGATACTCAACTTTGTGAAAAGAAAAAA